TATATATCAAATTTCGATGATGTATATTATCGTTATGCTAATAGCAATTGTGAATGATAATGATTTATGCTATAAAGTAGATCTTGGCGCTTCTTATTTACTAGAGATGTTAAGTAGTCCAAATGAACCGAGGTTGAACTTGGTTCAACCTAGTTTTTTTCAAAGAAAAATTAATCACAAGTTTATAAACCTGATCAACTGCGTAATAATTACATAATTATATTCTGATGTATTATCTCTAATAAGTTATCATCACGGTGAAGTAATTAAGCTAAATTCGGTCATCATATCTGAGTATTTGGTCCTAATTTAAATAATAGTTACCAAATTACATATTAATAAATCAATGTTAAACCCTGAAAAAAAGTTTTTTTTGGTGATTGATAACAAGTTTACCCCATCTTATTAGACATGGAAATAATGCATTCTCACTCGGAAATATATAATTATTTCAGTCAAAATCTCAAAAATCATTATTGCTTCAAAATTTTCAAAATTATAAATTCGCCGTAATATGCAAATAGAAATTTCTATTATTCAATGAACTCGAGTTTGAACTTCAAAAAGGTTATAAACTCAAGTTCAAACTCAAGTTCAAACGTTGAAACAGAACTTAAGTTTATAAACTTCGCTTTTTCTTTGAATTCCTTGGGACTGAACTAGGACTGGACTGAGCGAACCACTTAACATCCCTATTATTTACATTCATTTATCACCTTATTTGCGTACGATATTAAATAAAAAGGAAAGAAATCGAATTTTGATTCTACTTAAAAATTTTTCCAATAATTGCATGTAAACATGAAGTGTATATGTGAAATTAATGAAAATTAATGAATATTAATGTTAAGGGCTTTTAGGAAACATCAACAACTACAATGTACTCACCCGATCAAGAAAAGGTAAGTTACTTCTAGGAGATACGCCACTGTGTTCATAAGTTTGCATCTTTTTATTTTGTTAATGAAATTCTATGACAGAAATGAAATAGGGTTGTCTATGGGTTGAGTTGGGCTGATCCAACTTCAATCCACTATATACATTAAATTAATTAGACCTGCTTCGGGTTGCATCAGTTTTTTCCAATTATTTCCAGTTGTACCAAGTTTATAGACATTTTTAAAACCCACTACAACTTGGGTTTAGTCTGGTATGGCATTTGCTACTCCATTAAAAATTCTAATATGAAGTATAAGATATTTCAAAAAAAACATCTATTCAGTTATCCTCGGTGTCACGTGATATTACGGAGCAATTTTGTACACATTTTCGGTATGCCCAAGTTTTTTTTGACAAAGTTTGACAAAGTTTGACAAAGTAGATTTGATTTTTAATATACAAAAGATTATTTTACTTACAACTTTTTACCACGATCATTTTATGTATTGATCGATTTGTAAAACAATAAATTTATTTCATGTATTTCATGTAGTTGGCGATAAGAAACAAAAAAAAAAGAAAACTATTACGGTTACCATTATGAATAATGGCCAGCACAGATTGATTAATGAATTATCGGATAATGGATCATTGCATCAAATAAGACCAAACCTTAACAAAAGTTATTTAACCATATTAGAAGCATGTGAGCAAGGTCCAAAATTTTTTTTTTTTTTAGAATCTTAAAACTATTGTATTCTAACCTACAGACGCATACAGAAGACTCATTCAAAATACGAACAACGAACAAGTTTGATGATTACGTAACAAAATATAGTATGACATAATACCAAATATAAGTAATGACAACTAAACGAATTATTTTTGAAAGAACAGAAAAAAGATTTCATCATATTGATCATCATATTGGATCAGCAGAAGAGATTAGTATAAGAGTTGACCGAATTTATTGAACCAAAAGTGATTTAAAAAGATTGATTAGTAATAACGGGACAGTACTTTTCATAGATGGAATAATCGTAAACGTGTTTCACCACATTTTAGTTTGGTAAGGACAGGGTAACCGATCCATTGGAAACAAACAAATTGAATAGATTATAGACGTATAAATAAAAAATATTGAATAGATTAAAAAGACGTATAAATAAAAAATTTTAAGAGGAGGCGTGGGATTTTTTGGACCGAGGACCGCTACAATCGAGCATTAGTAATAAGTAAATTTCAATGCACCCCTTTTCAGGTTTTTTCAGGTTTTTTCAGGTTTATTCAGGCTTTTTTCCATTTGCGAATTAGGTTCTTTTTCTGAGACATGGAAACAATGACCAGGAATTAGTATTTGAACACAACAAAAAAGCAAAAATTTTTTAATTTTTTCTTTTTTTCTTTTAGGACAAAGAATTCATTCAGAACAAAATTAAAAGAACTTCACATACGAATATAATTGCCTATAAAATTTAATAAATTGCAAACGGAAGCATCAAGCTGCCGTCATCTTATCATGAACCCATTTCCTATTATATCAAAATGCATGCGCCGTGACAGGTTCATCACATAACGACGTTGTATCACAACCCTTGGGCGGAATCAAAGATTAAAAATATTTTGTGTTGGGTTTTTCCGTCACGAGGATATATTGAACTCATCATGTAAACGAATTGACCTGTGAAAGGAATTTTATTATTAGTTTTTTCCCTTATTAACTCTTACGGCAGCATCTCGTCCCTTACGATCATCAATATCATGTTTTACAATAAAGATTAATCTGTGAAAAAAAAATTTCCGGTCAAGAAAAGGGTTGTTAAAAAGAATTTTTTTTTTTTTTTTTTTTTTGAGATAAAATTAATTTAATCAGTTAAAAGGGAAAATGTAAGGATAAGATGGATAAGGAGTGCGGGATGTAGATAAAAAGAAGATGGACGAATTCTAATAGTCATAGGTTATTCGGTTTTGATATAATAACAACAATCGTTTGATTGATGAATGTTCGATAAACGGATTGTTGACAAATTTAGAGATTTTGGACGTGATTAAAGAATCAAGGGATCTTGAGAGGAGGCAAACCTTGAATCCAACAAGGAGATTGATTTGTCTTTTTGATGCCGAGTTTTATTAGATGGATTCTTGCAAAGTTCTCAGTTCTCTTGTTTTACGCGTCACGACAATCGATCAAAAATACATCTCTTCGGCCTTACGTACGATGTGAACCGGTGACCATATTTAAATGTCAAAAATACACATATATATTTTTGTACTTTTAATATATATATATATAATATATATATATATATATATTTATATTTATATTTATATATTTTTATATATATATATATATATATATATATTACTTTTTATTTATTATTTATTTATTTTTTTTTAATTTAACCCCAATACTTTTATTGTCATAATATTTTTATACTCATTGATCATCTTGAGCAATGTACCATGTATATTTATAAAGTCTTTTGTAATTATTAAAAACATTTATTTATTCGACGTCCAAACGTTACAATGCCAAAGGTTTGTGCGCGAATACCTGGATGAACTGTTCGATGATGTAATGATGTCATACGTACGTGGCAGAAGCACAGATTCGGCGATTTAATTTTATATGAAAGTGGGCTTCTTCTAATTTCTGGTTTGTACTAGCCCCGTTAATATTAACCGAAGATAGTCTCATGTAAGGCATCCTGAAATTTTCTGTCCCTTTTTTTTCCATTCGTTTTCTTTACATACATTTATCATTCTAATTTTACTATTTATTGATATTGTATAATTTATATTCATTTATTTTATTCTTTTTAAAGGCTTGCACGCATGTGAGTCCGGTCACTATGCATGTAGCTCTGTGTATCGAAAATTTGCAAAAAAAAGAATCATATAAATATATCTATAATTACACACTATACTATATATTTTAAAATTCCTCTTTTCACATATATATATCTCCCGTTCATCTACTTTTCTTTCGCCTTCATGTTTGAGAATGTGAATTGGTTTTAATGTCCTCAACTTCCGTATTCACGTCCTTTTACATACTATCCGCATATTTGAATAAATAACGACATTTTTTATTCAGGAAATTAGCATATCGAATATCGATACCTATCGACACCTTGTTTCTTTGTGATCTGCTAACACTTAAAATTAACCGGCAGGATAGTGATCAATCACAAAAAATTTTGTCACGAATTTTATCCCTAAAGCCCCCTCCATCATTCCCCTTTGTATTGTTTTGATTCATAATTGCCATCATCGTGCGTTTATTACTATTACATTCCTTTGTAAAAAAAAAAAAAAATTTTTTTTTTTGTACTTAATATCCCTATCATTTATTTCGTATAAATTCACATTCTTTTTTGGTTCTCGTCATGTCTTCGTTCCAAAAACTCAGGTTTTTGACAAATAACCCTCAAGGTAAATGTCGTTACTATTGTAAAGTTTTTTTTTTCCTCCTTTTTCGCGTTACCTTTTTTTTGTTCCGCTATGAGTCATTTGCCTCATATTCATTGCTGTTATTTCGAACGTAAATTCTATCTTTCGATTCACATAATTTATTTCATTGTTTATAATCCACTTGACTGTTTCCTTTTTGGTTGAAATTTCCGACAATTGAATTGACTGTGATTAACTAATATTTTTTTTGTCAATCATCGTTAGTTATTTTATCTTTACCATTTGCTCATATGTTTTCAGCAACAAACGAACAAGCCGATTCGAAACATGTTCCACATAATATTAACGTCGGAAATCATAACCAACAACTTTCAAATGAAAGTTCTATTATGATTCATCTTCCGTGTTATTTCGATGATAGTACCGTGAATCCATTAGAAGTATGTCTTTTATTATTATTTATTATTCCACGTTTTCAATTTCTTATATTAATTATCATCGTTCAAACTTTAATAGATCTATTCACGGAACCAGATAATACAAAATAATCAGGCTATATACAGCCAGGTATGTCTATTCATAATCAAATTAGTGTTTGTAATCGATCTAAATTTATCGATTCAATTGATTCAATCGATTCAATTGATTCAATTGAATTGATATTTAATTAAAAATCAGCTTAGTCGACTATGCCAAGTCGATTGCCGTCATTTGATTGAATCGACTAAACCATTTTTCTAAAAAATCGAGTGACTTGGTCGACTAAGTTGATTTTATTAGCTAACACCAATCCAAGTCGACTACGATCACTTAATTAAGTTAGATTTATTTATTATTTGTTTGCTATTTTTCACTAATTTTCTTTTATTCTTCGTATTCAAGCCATCAGAGTATGGGCAAAATAACGCTATGGTAAGTATTCTATCTCTTCTCTCTTTTTCTAAGCTAGCTCCTTGTGAAAAATCGAAAGTATGAACTTTGTTCGAAAAACCTTTTTTTTGATATATTTATATAACGAAATGTTAAAAAAAAAATAGCAAGGGAAAAAAGGAAGGGTTGCTTATAAATTATATTGCATAGAGTTTATATGAAAGGAAAATTTTCCTTCTTTTTCATATTTCATAATTTCTAATTAATATAAGAATAATGATCATGGGAGAAGATCATGTTGTCTTTTATTAAATTAGAATCGAAGGAAGTGTTCTCGGGAGTCGTCACACAAGATTCGGTATCTGTCGGTGATGATGATAATATTGGGCTATGACTCATTATCGAAGGAATTCCTGATAACTGTCTTCGAGGAGGCCGAGGAGGGATGTGATTTAAAGGAGTTGGACGCATCACTGTCTGGGCGGGAGTAGACGGTGTTGTATTTGGCGGGGTTAATATTGACAAACCTTCCTCATTATCATCATCTGTCGAATTATTTGTATTTGATTTCGACAGGATTGCGTCCTTCTCCAATTTAGCTTGTTTGTTTTTTATTTGAACCCAGCGTGTTCTACATTGACGCTACAAGTGATAAAGATAAAGGACGATAAAGAGCAAATAAATATATAACAATAATAATAATAATACTTTAATAAATAATAATAATAATAATAATAATACTTTAATAATACTTTAATAAATAATAATTTATTTACCTGAGTCCGACCTTCTATCAACTCAGCAATTCGGATCCAACACCTTCCATAACGTCGAACACCTTCTTTCAATATTTCATCCTCGTCGGGCGACCATTTACCCTTTCTAACGCTTGGGTCAAGTGCTTCAGACCATCGTGCCTGACATTGGATACCGGTACGATGTGGAATCCTAGACGCAATTTTATTCCAAGGAATAGGTTGAGGATGCCCATCGGAATCAATAAGATCCACGAATTCCCCAACCGCATCTTTTAGGGCAGCATCTTCTTCCGGCGTCCATCGTCCCTTATGGATAGTAGGATTCAATGCTCCTAACCATCTCGTAGAGCATTGCATAGGTGTTCGGTTAGGGACGTGTGCTGCGATGAGAGACCATTTATGTGGACCATAAATGCTTATAGCTGCACGTAAAAGTTCATCTTCTTCTTCGGTCCATTTAGTATATACAGGAGGTTTTTGTGGGCTAGAAGGTATGCGTCCGGGGTGAGATAAATTTCGCTGATAGTCAGAATCGTAAATGGGCCTCTATTTTTATTATCAAAAATTTGTAAATGAAAAATTCGTATTTTTTTAGAAAAAAAAGAATATTGAATCAAGAATTCTTGATACATACTTGATTAAAATAGTTAAAATTTTGGACCGGATCACCAAAAGAAATTAAAGGACTATACGTAGGTGTCGGTAATGGTTGTAACGGTTCCATCGATATTAAATTTGGAGCTTGATATGGGCTTTCCAAAACCGAATTATACATATTTGTAACTATGTTTTGTTGGCACAGCTCACTAGGCTAAAAAAGAAAAAAAAGTGAATACTTTTTGTAACAACTCATCCGAAGGAGACCGTAAAATTATTATTACCGGCCAATCATTAGTGTTTTCGTGAGTCACATGTTGTGCATGTGATTCATCTTTTTCTGAGTTTTGGTATAACTGCTGATTTTGCAACACAAATTAAAAAAAAAAAAAAAAGAAAAAAAATTTCCGGTCAAGAAAAGGGTTGTTAAAAAGAATTTTTTTTTTTTTTTTTTTTTTTTTGTTAAAATTAATTTTATCAGTTAAAAG